CTGGGGAGGCCTGGGCCGTCCTTGCCCCTCATCCTGCAATACATCACAGCCCCTGGGGATGGGCACCTAATAGGCACTACTCTTCCCCCAAAACCAACTCAGGAGAAACTAGAGAAGCAGTGAGAATATGGATTCCCAGGAACTCACCCTGCAGGGGGCTGACCCCGTGGTGTGTGGTTTCCACAGGGTGCAGAGGAGAGGTCAGAGGGGGTCGTAGGAGTAGGTGGGTAGGAGGGAAGCTTTTGGGTTTTGCTTTTCACATGAGGCCATGATTGCTTTGGGTCAATAACTGGCTGCCCCTTGACCCAGACCCAGGCCACTGGAGGCAGCGGGGTAATACCCCAGTGGTACAAAGGTCTTTTCATGAAATCAAGCCTTTTAAAAATGCAGTCACAACCAAGAGATGAGGTGCTCCTGGAATTTCCAGAAGTTCTGGAAGGTTCTCTTCAGAGTATTTCCCTCAACTCTGTGGAATACTAACATCCCGTAGCACAAATAAAAAGACAGCAGCAAGAATGAAGAATAAAGAATAAGTTCCTGAAACCTGGTGTGGATGAGAACAAGGCCCCACAGAGCTGCCAGAGGGTGAAAGGGAGGGGCCCGTGCTTGGTGTCCGAGGGCTGGGGGGACCATGGACCCAGGTGCCATCTTGGCTGCATTCCCTGAGCAGCAGCAGCCTCTGCCCATGGGTGATGTGGGCCTGGGGTGGGCACACGTCTGGTGAGGGGCCTGCTCAGGGGCACACATCTGCCCTTGTTAATCACCTGTCATCCCTGTCCCGTGGCCTCTTGAAGGTCTCTGTAGCATCCAGCAGTGTCTCGTGTTTTCAGAGATGTCTGAGGAGTGAGTGGCCTGGGAGCTGCTGGAGTTCCTGTGGCAGAGCCGGCTTGTAATTCTCCTAAACCCACCGCAGTGTGTCCCTCAGTGCACCTGCCACCTGGACCTGGGAGGCTGGCTTGAGATGGAGCGATGCAGGCCTGCTGTCCTCTCCGCTCTGCTCCAAGGTGGGGATGCCTTACATGGGGATCTGCTGCACGTGGCAAGTCAGGCAAAACCTTTCCCTTCTCCAACACACTTGGTGTGCATACCCCCAAGATCACACGAAAATAAATGTGTCCATAAAACATACGATATGCACACAAAATGCACAACATATGCAATGTATATGTCCACTCTCCCCAAACACATGCATGCCACAAAACACACACACACACACACACACACACACACACACACAGATGGGAACTTAAGGACCAGCCCAAAAGTCTGAATGCTGATTGTCTTTGCAGTGAGTAGTTAGAAAAGTGGGAAAAATCATCCAATAAATTATAGTTAGTTCTTAAAATCACTGTAATATATAAAAACTATATAAAATAAAACAAGTCCTTTGACCTAGCGATTACATATTGAGGAATTTATGTTTTAGGAATAATCAGTGATATTTGCAAAGATTTAAGCTCAAGCACATCAATGCTGATATATACCTCCGTAGCTATATTGTAACAACATAATATCATGTGCTTAATCTGTAACACACATGTACGCACCTATGATGGTATAAAAGTGAGAATAGCACACATGTTTAACATTTGGATTAGGTGAATTGTGTTCTGTCCATTGTGACACAGTTTGGTTGTCCCTTGTTCTCTTCCTGGGCCTCCCACAAATAAACACATAGTACCCCTGTGTGTTAGTATTGGTTCGGGCTACAGACAGGAGCCACCAAACACCCCACGTCACATTACACAGCACCCCATTGTAGACCAACTCGTTTCCCTTCTTTCTTGGAGTCACTCGGGCATGAACCCCACAAGTCTGTTGGCACCGACCTGACCTGGCTCTTCCCACCCCTCTCCCTCTTCCCCACCCTGAGCAATGCCTGGCTGCCCCACCCTCACGTCCTCATTCACGGGAAAACAGCACAACACAAAGCTTGCAGCTGCCCTACCTGCGCCCTTCAGACAATTTAGTAGAAATTTTGACTTTATTTTGGTTTTGCTTCCTTTTGCCCCTCATAATCTCATCTCCATCCTAGGAAGTTTATCAAGAGTTCTTCAACAAATGTCTCTCCTTAAGAATTTAGCAGCTTCTCAAGACAGTTAGTGAAACACTTTAGCAGTTAAAAATGGCACTATCGTTAAAAATAGTAGTGTAGAAAAGAACTGATGAAATGGAATGATGTTTGCAATATCACATTGATTAGAAAACTCACCATACTAACTGGGAAAGAAATATTACCAAACAATTTGTCCAACTCACTTCCATAGGTGTGGATGTAAAGGTGTGCATGGAAAATGACTCCAGGAGGAGACCCCAGGCCTTGGTCCCAGTTGAGAGATGGGGCTGGAGTATGCTCAGAGAGGCCTGAGGTACAGTCCTGTCCTTTCCAGTGACTAGGGATGTGACCTTGGGTAAATTGCTTATCCTCCTTAAACGTGCCTTTTGTCTGTAACACAGGGATGATATCTACCTACAGGATCGTCAGAGGATTAGGTTCTAGGTAAAGAAAGAAAAGCCAGTCCAGTAAGGGCACTGTGGCTTACCACCATGGCTGACCACTGTAGCTGACTACTGTGGCTGTTCCCGGTTGTGGAGGGTTGGGTCGTGGTCCAGAAGCGGTTCTCATTGCTGTGCCTTTACCTTTGTTTGGCTTTGCATAACAGACAGGAGCATGTGCCGTACAAAATGCGAGATCATGCAGGAAGATGCTAATGGGCTCCAGGGAGAATCCGGTCCTTGGTGGGCTTCATCAGGGACGGCTGCTTGGGGATGCCTTGCATGTCACCTTTGAAAAAGAGTGGCGGAGAAGAGGTGCAGGTAGGGTTGGCCCTAGAGTGCACCCGGAAGGAAGCCTGAGAGGAGGACATTTCCTCTGGAACTTGGGGACTCAGCTTGCTGATAGTTTGGAACCGGGGCTAAGAACCCACCTGAGAATGAGGTCTTCCCTGACCCTCTTGACCCTCTCAGGCTCCCTGGCTGACCTGGACCTGGTGTCTCTTCTTTCCTTCACTCACATCTGTTTCCTACCCCTTCACAGTTGGACAGAGTGGGCAGCTACAAAGTCCATCTCGAGGGCCTTGAAGTGTGTCATGTGGATGAGGCACAGGCCTTGGCAGAGTGACACCACCCCCGGGAATTGTGTATATCATTGGCATGGAAACCACAAGGCGATGAGAGGTGCCTGATGACCCAGAAAGCTGTTTATCATTGGCTGCAGGAATGCCGTCATTGCACTGTAACACCCACTGCCAAATCTGACGTCCCTAGTCAGGACCAGCCTGGCTCCTCCGGACCAGGGTTTATAAGTCCAGAAGACGGAGCCCCAGGAGTCCACAAGGGAGTCACAGACCACAGCGATCCCCAGGCCAGGTAGGTGGTCATCACCCATTCTCCCGCCCTGAGGCCCATTGTCACGATGGGTAGGTGGCAGAGCCTGGCCACACCTTCCTTTTCTCCCCACTGGAAGTATTATCTTCAAGATGCCCAGACCGCCAGGCCCTCGGCCCCGGCAGCAGCTTGCGTCTCCCAGGACGGCTTGCGCCAGTGTCACAGTGTTGCTGGAGGGCCGGGTGGACACTGGCTTAGCAAACCTGCAAGTCCAGATGATGCCAGCAGCTTCTCTGTAAGCGGAGAAGATTGATTTCAGATCTAGAAAGTCCTGGTCTTTGGAAAGAGGTTTTAGAAGTTGGTACTGTGAATGTTCTCAAGGGGACAGGGAGAGCTCAGATGGCCTGTCCATGCCCTCTTCAGGGAGTACAGTGGGAGCCTCCTGGATTTATCTTGATATGGGTTCCAGATTCCCTAAGCAGCTCACAGGGATATCCCCAAGTCCTCCAGCCTGTGGTAACGTTCCTTCCTCTGGGCACCTACATTTCTGCCAGGCACGTCTTGTGGTGATGTACTGTCAAACTCTCTGTCTTCTCGAGTTCGTTCCTTGATTTACCCCACACTGCAAAGGCAGCTGTGCTCTGTGACTACGGGGTGCTGCCAACCACAACTCAAAACCTAATGGTAGATATTGCTGCGCCTAAAGACCCACCAGCTCCGCCCAGCTCCCCAGAGCTGCCTGGTGGTCACCTTCCCTCCTGCTCACTGTCCCCAGTGCTGAGCCCTGGAGTCCTTTCCTGTCATTTTTTATTTGTTGCAAAGCAATTTGGTTCTCCTGGTGTCATTCCTAAGCCATTCTCTAAAGATCTGGTTTTCACACCAAATGCCATCTCCACAAACTTGGAAGTGGTACCTGCCTGGAAGTCACATAACTTCAGATTTCTCACCTGTAAAACGGGATGAAGAGTTCTTGCTCCATTTCTTCTCCTGGACTAATGTTGGGGAAAGTGCTTTGTCAAATGAAATAGGGTGTGAAGAATTTATATAATTATGTCTCCTCCAACGCTCCTAGTGAAGCAAATAGTGGGAATCTACCTGCCCAAGACAGGAATTAAGCTTTTCTGGGGCCTTTGGAAACTGAGTGTTTCTTGGCAAGATCTTGCAGGGATATTGCCCTGTGTTAGGTAAAGATTAGGTTACTTCAGAGTCAGCAACCTTCTACAGAAAGGCTCAGGTGGTACGTTAGGTGTTGCTGGCCTCTCTCTCTCAAGTACTCAACTGTTACTGCAGCCCCCAAAGCAACCCTAGACACTATGTAAATGAGGAAAATCAAACTTTATTTAACCACAAAACAAGTGGGCCAGATCTGGCCTGTGGGCTATAGTGTGTCAGTCCGAAGAGCACTGCACGTTGAGCTTTTTATTCTTTATCATTGTTATGAAACGTTGTCAAGATTCACTAAAGTGATAGTGTGACCTGCGTGTTGGTGTTGTGACCCACTGTTTGGAACACGCTGCTTTGGAGGAGAGATGGAAGAGCCTCCTGCAGGCAGGGAGCATTGCTAAGCAGACAGCAGGCTGAGAGGCTGCTTCAGGGACATGTTAGCAACAGGGAGCTGATTCCTGCCTGTCTGTCCAGGTGCAGTGCCTCTTGTTATCTCACCAACACAGAAGATGTCCGTTTTGGAGGACAACACAGGAGAGAACATGGACTTCGAAGACTGGGAAGAAGAGGAAGCCCAGTGCTGCTCAGAAGGTACGTTTTGGGGAAAGCTCACGGCAGGACCAGAGTGGAATTCTGAGAGCAGGATCTCCCGGCTGGCCTTGCACAGCGTGTGAGCGGCAGAACTTCCCTGGCAAATGAACCAGACTGGAGGGATCTGGAGAGAAAGGAAGGTTTGCCTCAGGGGCCCAGGCGCACAGGGGTGGATAAGTGGACTGTTCCCCCCCTCAGGGCTCAGGGCCTTGAGCTTCACCACCAGTGCCCGGTTTCCCCTCCTCAAGCATCTGAGCCCTCCCAGCTTGCCCAGGAGAAAAGGCCCGAGGTGGAGGGGCTGGCCTGGGACAGTGACTCTGGGCAGGGCTCTGGCCCTCCCTGGAGAAAGGCAGAGGTCAGAGGGCAACCACAGGAGATGTGGGTCTGCGCGTGGGGCGCAACCTGCCAGAGGTTGACCCCGGATTATTTCTTCTCTCTTTGGCAACATGTGTGTCCAGGGAAGCCATTTTTAAATGTCACTCCTATCTCTCTGCTCTGTATTTCTCTGTGCAAACAAAATGAATTAAAGAATTAAGTGGCACCTAGAGCTTGTACATGCTTGAGACACCCCAGTTGTCTGTGTTCACTTGCCGTCTCTGGTTGCAGACCCAGATGGAAGCCCCATGGAGCCAGGCCAGAGCCAAGCCTCTGTGAGTTCTGTGCATACAAGTAAGTTCCCCGGGTGCAGTGATGGGTGGCCGAGGGGTGAGGGGATAGATGGTTCTGCTGGGCCCTCTTAGACTGGAGACACCCAAGGGTGCTTCCCCTTTATGGAGGGGAATCCCACCTGGAGGGTCTTCAGGAAAGATGTACTCAAGGTGGGCCTCTGCAGAGAGGGCAGTGACCCAGGTGGGTGAGGGCACAGGGGGAGGAAGGCTTTGAACCTGGGACCCTTCTGAATGTTGTCTGACCTCTGCCAGGAGGCTGACACCCCGACCTCCTCAAGGCACTGCTGAGAAACAGGAGGGTGTCCAGCAGGGACGCCCTGGGACACCCTACGATGGAGCCTGGGGTGGCTGCCCTCACAGGGTGCCATGGGCGTCACCTTTCAACAGCCCCAGGAGGAAACTGCTACCATCACACTGTCCAAGTGTGGAACCTGAGGCAGAGTGGCCGTGACCTGCCCCAGGTGACATGGGGAGGAAGCCACACATGCTGGCATTTAAGGCACCCTCTGTAGGCCCAACTCAGGGCTGCTGCTTACCAGGGTCTGAAGACAACAGCCCCAGCCTCAGTCCCAGGGGACCCAGACACCAGCCCCAGCCCCAAGGATCCAGACACCAGCTCCAGCCCCAGGGATCTAGACACCAGCCCCAGCCCCAGGGATCCAGACACTAGCCCCAGCCCCAGGGATCCAGACACCAGCCCCAGCCTCAGCCCCAGGGATCTGGGCATCAGCCCCAGACTCAGCCTCAGCCCCAGGGGTTCAGACACCAGCCCCAGCCCCAGAGATCTAGACACCAACCCCAGCCCCATTCCCAGGGATCCAGACACCAGCCCCAGCCCCAGCCCCAGCTCCAGCCCCAGCCCCAGCCCCACCCCCAGGTATCCAGACACCATTCTCAGCCCCAGCCCTAGGGTTCCAGACACCACCACTGCCCCAGGGGATTCAATGCCCAGCCTGATGTGAGAAACTAAAGGCTCAGGGTCCGTCTAGCTCAGGGCTCCAACCCCACAGCCCCTGCCCTGGGGACTCAGACTATGGGAGAGTCTGGAGTAACCAAGGCTGAGAGCGTGGGTCTCCCCTGACCCCTTGTCACCATGGAGTCATTCAAGATCTGGCCTGGGCTGGCCATCCCTTCACAAACACTGAGAGTCCCCTGTGGGGGCTCTGTGGGGACGTGGAGGGTCACATACAAGCCAGACAGGGGACCTGCCTAGGAGCTGACGGTGCTGTCATGTTGAGATGTGGGCACTGATTCCTGTGAGCAGGCCCAGGTGATCAGTGCAGGGGGCTGGGGCAGCCAGAGGATGCCATCCCACTCCGAGGAGAACTGAGTGGGCTGCAGGGAGGAGGCAGGGTCAGCAGTGTGACAAGAGGATCCTCCTGGTCCTCAGGGAGGAGGAGCCCAGGAGGGACAGTCCACTGAGCAGCTGGGCAGAGGCCTTGAGACCATGAACGGAAAGAGAATGAGGCCTTAGGATGACTCTCTGCCTTAGAATTTCCTGTCACAGATTCGCATGCCATGGCACCCTGCAGGGGGTGGGTACAATATTGTCACATTATCATAGCTGACATTTCTCAGCTGCCCATCCCTGACAGCCTCGGCCCAACACTGGAAGCTCCTGCTTAGGGCTCCTTCTTGGAGTGTCCTGGTTCCTGGGTCTGCTTGCCTTGGTGTCCCACCACCTAGCTGCCCATTATCACTCCCTTGGACAGACGGGGCGAGGGTCCCTCCCGCCCCAGGCATTGCTGTGGGCACGATGCCCAGCCAGAGTTTAGGAAAGTGGGTCGGGACAAGCAATGGTTGCCATGGTCCAGGTCTCATCTGTAGCACGGATGCTTTCTTGGCTCCGGTAAGTGCTACTTATTCAGTAAGCATTTAAATCCTCACAACCGTCTCTCAGGTAGGTGATTTTAATGTCCCCATTTCACAAACTAGGACATTTGGGTTTGGAAAGATTCAGTAGCTTGTTCTAGGTCCCAAGGCAGCCATGAACGACACTCAGTTTGAACCCATCTGTGAAACGCTGGACCCCACGTGCTTACGTCCAGCGCTAATGTGCTCGTCCCAAGCAAGGCAGAGAGTCTGGAGCCTGGAAGCTGGGGCTGGCACCCTGGGATGTGGGGGAGATGGGCCGAGTCTCCCATTCTCTGGGATGCGTTGATATCTGGTCACATTTGTCCAGGTCCAAGAGTGAAGGCCAAAGAGCCCCAGAAATTCAGCATTTTCGACCGTGATCATAAAGTGTTGGTCCTGGACTCTGGGACCCTCAAAGCAATTCCAAATAAAAGCTACATCCTCCCAGGTAACTCACAGTCCAGCCAAGGTGAGACCTCTCTTTGCTCGGGCTCCGACGTACCACACCCCCAGTGCCAGCAGGTGTGGTCCTGGTGAGAGGCCCTAGGGAGCTTTAGGAAGTGGGTAAAGGGTATGGCAGGATCAGAGGGGACTCTTCTGGAAGGGCAGCCTGAGAGAAGGAGCCTATGGCTCAGGCTTGGAAGAGGAGGCTTGGGCCCCCATTGGGGAGGGGACTTTGATCCTGGGCTCCAGGGCGGGGGGGGGGGGGGG